CCGCACAGAACTGAAGTGGGGTTCATTTTGGCCCGCCTCCCGCTTCTTGTTCTTTTGTTGATGCCAGTTTGCTGTGGAATTGCCTCGCGCCTTTGCCTCAAGTTTCTCCCGATTCGCCTTTGCTGACGGGGTAAGCCAAGCGAGGTCTTTGCCGATAGCCCTGTGCACGTTGCGATCGATGCCGACATCGGCCCAGCATTTTCCTGGCGCCCCTTCTTGCTCGTCAGTCCACCCCACCCGCCTGCCAAACTCAAAGAGTGCGGTACGCTTGCCGCCATCCGGGAACGAAACATCAACGTATCCATGGAGGAGTCCATTTTCAAAACAACCCTCAAGACACACACCATCCAACATTTTGAGCCTGCCGTGTCCAATGCGCTTGCCGTCGACCCAAACTCCAGAGTACTCTAGTGGTCGATAAAGCGCATTCAATCCTCCTATGCACCTTCTATTGTGATCACCACGCTCTGATACTGGGCATAGAATCATTCTACCTTCACCAACACGCTCCCCGTGACACCATCTCCCAGCATACTCACGGCCATCAACGCAGGTGTAGGTGCCTCTTCCTAATTGGGTCATGATAGAGTAATAGCTGCGATGTACATGGAACTCAAGCTGGACACGGGCCATAGAGACCGTGGAAGACGCCATTTCGAAACTCTCCCTCATAGCGACAGTACCCACGTCCTTTGTGCTTAAATTTCATACCGCATCGATAAGTTACACCCAACTGATTCCCCCATTGTTCCTTACCTTGGCCACATTTTTGGTTCCCACAAAACGGGCCTGTATAAACAGACCCGTGTGCCCCAATGAACCTGCCGGAGCCCTCCATTTGATCATCCCGCCATTCACCCTCGTAACGATTTCCACTCACCCACCACCGGACGCCATATCCGTTGCGTTTGCCACTTGCAGTTGAGTGTAATTCCCTGCCTTGATCAAGATACGCGCCTTCGTAGAAACCGCCATCAGACCAGGTGTAGCGCCCTCTCCCACAGAAGACACCTTTGAAGAAGAGCCCTTCAAATCTATCACCGTGTCCATACCTATTGTCCGTGATTATCACCCCCATTATTAAAATGTTGGGCGTGGTCGCTGGGAGCTTGCATAATCACACCGCGGCCGTGGGGCATATTATCCTTCCAGATACCAACATATTGGTTTTTGTTGGCCCAGTGCATCATGCCCTCGCCATGCATTGCGCCATCGATAAACGCCCCCTCATAGGCTGAGCCGTTGGCAAAAGTTCTCGTGCCAAGACCATCCATGTCGCCATGCTTATACATTCCACGGTAAGATCCCCCTGCTTTGTACGAAAACGACCCATTGCCATGAAACTTTCCCCCAACAAGCTCACCATTGTATACCTAACAATACGTACATCGGCAAAGATAGTCATGAGAGTGCGACCCATGACCGCACATCACCATTTGCGAACTCAATGTCACCGCTGCCACTGATTTTGCCACGGCACCAGGTCCCCGAAAACTTGTCGCCTGAGGCTGCCTGCAGGACACCCTGCCCATGAAACCTGAGACCGCCCCTTTAGGTGCTGGGCCTATCAATCTGAACGCGGCTATTTACAGATTGTCTTCGAAGTAGCCATCGTAGACACCCCCATCGCCGATATGAAAAAGTCCGTACCCATGTTTTTGCCCGCAATCAAATGCGCCCTCATAGCGTTGACCTATATAATCTGCACGACGCGCGTGGAAATCTTTCGTTATGAAGATCCCATTGCCATGAAAGAGATTGTTCATCCATTCTCCATTATAGCTGTCGCCATTTGAATACATTAGCAACCCCCGCCCCTCCCTCCTCCCATCAACGAATTCCCCCTCATACCTACAGGGCTAATCGGTGATCCCCGGAGTTGCCAGCATGGCTCAGCTATGACTTGTCGTTGTTTGGATAGCGTTTGATGCCAATACGGTAGATCCTACCATCGCGGTGTACCATCTTCATGGTGAGAGCTGTAAGACCGTCTTAAAGCTAGTAGATCAAGTATTCAGCGGGCGCTTATCCAGGGGGGCTAGAGAGGTACCTGGGCGAACCGATCTCCAGCCTTTGTTCAAGCAATAAACTCTCAAACACCCGAACTCTTGTCAATCACCTTAACTCTGTGCAACCTGGTTGCATCGAGCTTGATGATTTCGGTCTTATGACTTACAAGGATGTCAATTTTGAGTTGGAATCTTGTTATCTCTCCCGGCCATCCTACCTTGGATATATAAACGGCGAGAATGTAAAAGGTAACAAGGTATACTCCATACAACGAGCATCTCCCACTTTCACTAGTTGGGCGAACATCCTTATTCTCGATGACAGACACAAGAACAAGATGTTTAAGGGTATACGCGGCTTGACTTTCACTACCCTACTACCATCATGCTAGTACTGTACCTACCCTAGTTAGGCCTTCCTTCCCGTTCCCCTTCTTTATAATCAGTTACTATCTTATGACTGAGCTACCGTAAGGTAGCACACTGAGCTTCCCCTCTCACCCACTGTGCTTATCCTGCTACTACGGACTGTACCTTAACGTCAAGTTGATGTACGGGGCTTAGATTCTTTACACTGGCGCCACCTCTGTCCAGGGAGCCCGGCCCGTAGGGTCCGTGGGGCGGCGGCGGGTGCGAAGCGGGGTCGGGTGGGGCCTCTTCCGGGCCGCCGCGCGACCGGTCGCGGCGGCTCATACTGAGACTACTGAGTCGACTCAGTCTGAGTATGGGGGGCGGTTGCGGATCGCTGGATTTCACGGGGATGATCGAGACAACAATCGATTAACCACATATTGCAGAGGATAAGGCCCTGTGGAAACGCTTGGGCAGGATGAGCCTGCCAGCGGACTGCGGCCCAGGTGGCAAAGATAACCCGGGAGGAGTCTCCTTCCTGATGGGTATTGACCATAGGACCGGCGTGCCGTTCCAGTGTATGCAGGACCCCACGATTGCCAACTTATGGATGACCTTGAGAGAGACGTTCTTGGAGATCAGCCATGATAGAGTTAAGGGTTGCAAGCTAACCAATATAAAAATTGCTATCAATTCAGCAGACACCAGGGTTAACTCCCATAGTGCGGACCTGGGTTTAGCGACCGTGTGGCTAAAGGGTAGCCTAGCTATCCCCGACCATATATCCGTCTCTCTCCCTCCCTCGCTTCGGTCACTTCTTCTAGACTTGTGGAGACTGCACTCCATACGTCGAGTTGCAATGCTGCTAGCGGACGAAACGTGCGTGCCAGATACCGTTGTATTTGAGCAATTGCGACACAGGCCCAAGGCATACTTCCTGAAAGCATTGCTGGGCCGTGGCATCAAGTTAGACCCAGTAGCATTCAATAACCCCCGGTCAAAGATAACGTGCGTTGCGCTGAAATATCTGACGACCGACAAGCTGCCGCAAATGTACGACAAGGCGTTGTTGAGTCTCATGTACGAGGGTTCCCTGGAGGACATACGGAGCCGTGTGGCGCCAGAGGGGAAATTAGCCTCCAACCTCGCCAATGCCCAAAATGCAAATGGGGAGACTGTACTCATGAAAGTCTGTCGGCGTGCACTCTCTACTAATTGCCATAGCCCTCTCGCTGTCGTTGGCCTTCTCCTTAGAGCTGGGGCGAACCCTATGGTGTGTTGTGATAGCGGCAAGAATGTGCTCCATGACCTCTTCTGGTCTGCTAAGCCACCACCGCCAGATGTCTTGCAAGCAATGGAAGCAATGGTTGACATGATCCACGAGTGCACTGGTCGCGAGACTCCAGCGCATGCCTAACCTATGGCGGACATGATCTGGCTGTATGGTAGGTGCGGGTCTTCTTGAACTAATGCTGAGTGAAGACAAGCACGGATACACGCCTCTCGATTATGTCGTGCCTGCCCAGCAACCGAACTGGCGCAGGATCGTCGACACGGTTGTTGGGTGGGCTGCAGACTCGCATGAGAATGTCACGACGTCTTGCTCAACAGGACCGGCTGATGCGGTCAAGAATATGAAAGCAAATGCGACACCAGTGGTGTCAGCACACGCTGATCCGTCATACTTGATCCAGTCCCTATCAGATCGCGTCGTGTCCAACCTCCGCCTCGTCACAGCGGAGGACTTGACAATCGCTAATTTTATGCAAGACATGGACGCAACTGATGTTCGAGTTGTCGCACAGCTTTGCACACCGACAGAGTCTGCAACCCCCTGCCCATTCTCATATTTTGCATCCATAGTATTTTCCTCCTGTTTCCCCAGGGCGAGCTCTCCCTGGTTGTAGGTGCGAGAAGTTGCAGCTTCCTCGTTAGTGACTGCGCCGACCCCGACGCAGCAATCATCGCTGTGAGCCCTGCTTTTGTTACGGAGACAGGATACGAGCCTGGGGAAGTACTCGGTCGCAACTGCCGATTTCTGCAGGGCCCAGGTACATCTACAGTCCAGGTCGACCTGATTAGGCACGCACTTGCAACCCAATCCACGGTCAAGGTCTCCCTCCTGAATTACAAAAAAGATGGGGGCACGTTTCTCAATTGTTTTCTCTTAACGCCATTACACGCAAATGGGAAGGTCAGATACTACATCGGTATTCAGAATTGTCCAGAGGCCATTGTTGATGACCGCAAGCGCAATGTTCTCCGCCAACAGAGAAACTCTGCAGAGGAGTGCAACAATGGCGGCTGGCTTGAAGACACAGTAGCCATGATCGACCGAACACGAGCTCCACGGGGACTAATGCCGACACTCTCGCACTTGAAACGCAAATTGGACGTGACAGAAGCCGAGAAGCCCCCCCCAACAAAAGCACACAAGTGGGGGCGGCTCGAGCGCGGCCGCCAGTGCTCGGTCTCTTAAGATGACCCAAGTGCCATTCTCAGCGAAATTGGCGGACTGGAGGGACGAAAAGGTGTTTAAAGCCCCGATTCCGAAGGGGGGGCGGGGCCCAGCGTAACACCGGCGGCCGGTAGGTCGCAGTGCAACCACGCGGCGACAGTGCGGCGACCCCGTGGCCCAGGGGGAATAGAGTAGCCCGAAACACGGCGCTTTCTAGTTGGGGCCCGCTGTTGGGGCCCGGCTGGGCCCCCGGCGCTGGCCCCCAGCCAGCCCCCAGCGCCTGAGTAAGGCCCCCAGGCGCCGGCCCATTATTGTCGGGAAGTTTGTCGGGGACGTCCACAACTTGAACGACCCAAAGGCCCGAGAGCTGCCAGTTCACGAGCAGTTGCTCCTAAGCAGCGCTCCTAAGCATGATGCCAGCGATATCCAGAATGACACGGCCCGGTGTGTTTGGCAGTGTGACTTAGAGTGCCGCTGCCAGCGGACCGGGCTAGAGCACTTAGCAAATAATGAGCAACCAATATTCTAACTAGGATTACATGCCCTTCAAGGCTTGCCACAGTGCGATACTCTCATCCCTTCCCTGCCTTCGTACTTTACAATATTTAACCTCGCTGGCAGTGTGTCTGTCAGTGAGCCGCCTACTAGGTGGTTGGCAGAGGAGCCAGGATACGCCTAGGATACCCGTAGTTAACGCAGTCTCACTCTGATCTGATAAAGCGGCGAATATCGCCCTTAGAACGCGAGTGTGATTAAGCACAATCAAAGTGCTCTTGGCGATAAGCCAGCTACCTAGGGAGCCTACATTCTGCTCCTTGGGCTATGCTACCCTACATTTTTATGCACTCAATGATCAATCATCCTGCTTGACTAGAAGGTTACGTCGCTAGGGCTGAATAGCGAGTATCGCCGCACATCTATCGCCATGGGCCGCCTACACAGCAAGGGGAAAGGCATCTCGCGATCGGCGAAGCCGTACAAGCGGACCCCCCCGCAATGGTTGAAGACGTCGTCAGTAGATGTGGAGGAGCACGTCTGTAAGCTTGCGAAAAAGGGCCTGACGCCGTCTCAGATTGGCGTCATCCTCCGCGACTCGAGCGGAATCCCCGCGGTGAAGTCTGTCACTGGGTCGAAGATCTTACGTCTGCTGAAAAAGAATGGTCTCGCACCGGAGATTCCTGAGGACCTCTACATGCTCATCAAGAAGGCGGTGTCTGTTCGCAAGCACATGGAGCGTAATCGTTCCGACAAAGACTCCAAATTTCGCCTTATACTGATTGAATCCCGCATCCATCGGCTTGCACGCTACTATCGCGAGCTCTCAGAGTTAGTTTATTAGATCTAAATAACACGCGATTCACAGGTTCCACACGCAAACTCAACGCATCGTGGAAGTACGAGAGTGCCACTGCTTCAGCGCTTGTTGCCTAAGCTCATAGTCGTGCGTCGCACGTTTAGCATACGCCTGGAGATATCTGACGTCACCGAGCATTACGACCGCGGTTTCAACGGTATTATCTAGCACAGTTCCGGCGAAAGCGCGATCAAAGTAGGGCCTGGCGCAGCAAATGCCAATAGCAGGAGCGTAGTAGGAGCGCGAAGTAAGTCTGAGCCCGGTAGAGGCCAAAAGCGGGAAATTCGACGCGTTCTTATTCGGGGACCACCCGGATCGGCTGAGCCCGACCGCCCGTGTCGACGCGCGCCATGGCTATGCTCATGCTATACTATGCTGGTGCTTCATACTAGCATACTCGGGTTCTAACATACACGGGGGGCAGTGATAGCACGGTGGAACAACCCATAACCCGTAGGAGGTGGCACACTGAGTGTTACTAGTACCCTAGTGGGGCTAGCCTAGGGGTCTCTGGCGCGCTGGCGGGGAGCTGACTTGAGCTGAGGGGTTCCGGGGAGGACAAGTTAACCCGCGTTGTTCCAAGCCCTCAGAAACCGACGCGTTTGGACGCGTGGAACAGGCCCCTGAGTTTAATTCGAACATTTTTCTAAGAAATTTCTCCATTCGTCTCCGCCAGCACTCTGGAATTTTCCACCGCGCATCGCCATCGGTAGGATTTTGCTTACTTCCAACAAGAAGCGCTTCCGACGGCGGGCGCCGTAAGCTCAGCGCGGCCGGTGAATTTAATTGGAGGACCGCGTCTCGTAGTAAAGCAAAGCGTTTGGGTTAATTTATTGAAGTAGTAATAGAAAACCTCATCGAAATTGTACAAAACTGCATCGTTTCGACCGACGGATAACGCTGCGATGATGTGATGCGCCGGCACCGCGCCGTTTTGCGCCAGGTGGTGCACGAAAAGCGCGCGTGCTGCGCCGGGCAGCGACGACGGGGTTCGTGAGCGCAAAAATCCTGCTGGCGGCCTTCCGCGGCGAGACTGTCGATCGCTGCGACTGCGGGGCGCGCCCCCACTCGACTTTTGGATCCCCGGGTTCATATGCCGTGACAGCTGGCATGGGGCAACTCATCACCTGTCTACGGTCGCCCTGCGACTGAATTAGGTTCGAAACTCCCCCGCGCGCGTGACGACGACGACGGCGGCGGCGGCGGCGGCGGCGGCGACGACGACGACGACCGACCGACCGACCGACCGACTGGCACAGAAAGTAGGTGCCAGGAACTAGCCCGGGACCCAGGGGAAGTCACCCGAGGAGCCCCCCCGAGTACGCCCCAGTCGGTTTGGTTTAAATTTTACCACCCCAGACCCCAAAGCCCGAGTTCACTCGGGGCTGCGGCGGACAGCACACCGCAGCCCTCAGGCACTGTGAAACACCGGATTTTTTCAGGAGCTGCGCGCGCGGGGAAGATGACCGAGTTTGAAGGGGCACCCCAGTTCGGGAAGTACGGGCTCGCGCCGAACTTAAAGGATCGCCAATAAAGGGGCGCCGACGACGGCGGGAAACATGCGAAGTTGAGGTTTCATGTTCCGGAACCATGTTCCGCTAAATTTCGAGGGCAGGCGTCGCCGGAACAGCGTCTGGGGGCTGCACCGGTACGCCGGAACGGCCGGAACGCGCCGGGAGTCGCGCGCTCCGGAACACAGCCTTCTGCCGGCGCACGCGCGCGGCGCGCGCCGGAACATGTCTGAGGAGTTCGTGCTGTCGGATTCGATCTCTGCGGCTGCGGTGTGCGCGTCCCGATTCGATTTTGGCAGCCCCGTATATATTGCCGTTACAGTTTGACACATCGAACGATATTGACCTCCCCTGTGCTGTTTTCTGTCCGGTGTAGGTTCGAATACCCACGCGCGCGTCGTCGTCGTCGTCGTCGTCGTCGTCGTCGTCGGCGGCGGCGGCGGCGGCGGCGGCGGCGGCGGCGGCGGCGGCGGCGGCGGCGGCGACGATGCTGCTACTACTCTAGATAAATTTGGCGCACCTGTTGTGCACTGACGACGACCTGTGCCTCGCCTCAGGGTAATTTGGTTTTTGTGCCCTAGGTAGGGCGCCGTGCGTAATTTGCCTGGCCTGATGCCCAGCCCCCAGGGGCCTGACGCCCAGGTCTGAAGTCCCTGTCTCATGACGCGCACTAAGCGTGCCGTGAACGGGCAGTTGAGAAGACAAATCCGACCGGAAATCTACCGGAACACCGGAACACGCCGGAACACGCCGGAACACGACCGGAGGACGCGAACCGGAACACGCGACCGAGGGGCCCGGGAGAGCCGGAAGCCGGAACATCCGCGAGACCTCTACCGGAACATCAGGGCCGGAACATCAGCGCATTCGGTGTTTCACAATGCCCTCAGGCAGCGCGGCGCCCCCGGGTGCGCCGGCGCGCCCCAGAGAGGCGCGACCGGCAGCCCTAGCGGCGCCACCGCTGCCCAGGATGGCTGCCGCAGAGGCGCCGAAGACGAAGCTGGCGACGATGTTTAGCAGCCTGAGCGCGGATGCCTATTGTTTTAGGTTTGGAGCGGATGCTTTTCAGGTTTAGGCCCGGGAATCATGTTTCTAGGTTTAAGAAAATTACGTGTCGTGCTTTTAGGTTTAGAAAAAAATCGGAAAAATCGGAAAAGAAAAAGGACCTGGTGCGACGGGCGGCGGATAGAATTGCAGGATCGCAGGATTGCAGGATTGCAGAATTCAAGTTGCAGGATTGCAGGATTGCAGGATTGCAGGGTTGCAGGATTCAAGTTCAGAATTGCAGGATTGCAGGATTGCAGAATTCAAGTTGCAGGATTGCAGGATTGCAGGATTGCAGGGTTGCAGGATTCAAGTTCAGAATTGCAGGATTGCAGGATTGCAGGATTCAAGTTGCAGGATTGCAGGATTGCAGAATTCAAGTTGCAGGATTGCAGGATTGCACTCGTAAAAGAGCTCATAATTCTCAGGCGTGGAAAATTTTTTGTGTTTCGCCTTGATGTTGCGCAGCATGTGGACGCTGCAATTCCCGGGCGATTCAACCTGGAGCACCTCGTCGACAGCATTAAACGCCGCGTCGCAGTTGTCGTTCATGCTGTACCTGCGGGGCGCGAAGGTCGAAGGTCGAAGGTCGGCGCCGCGAGCGTCGGCGCCGCGAGCGTCGGCGCCGCGACACACGAAAAACACACGGACACTGGGCGATTCTCGACTTTGATGACGCATTTGCAGCCGAGCTTCGCCTTCCAACAGCAGCGCCACTCCTCCCAATAGTTGCACGTGCCAGTCTTGCGCGTGTCGTGGCCGCCCTTCGTCCAGGTAGAACCATCACGGCAGAGCGACGCCTTCGCCTCGTCCAACGTCAGAAGCGGATTGTCTCCCAGACAGACGCCATTCACCCACTTGAACGCGGCTTTCCATGGCGTCGAGCGGTCCTGGACCGCGCGCGGCCGGCGCGGCCGCTCCAGCGGCGGCTGCTCGACCGTGCGCACCTCCTCCTCCTGCTGCTCGAACTCGAAGTCGTCGAACTCGGCGAAGTCGTCCATGATGGCCTGGACGGCCTCCTCGTCCGCGCGCTGCTGCACGCGCGCGCCCTCCTCGCCCGCGCGCCTGCGTGGGACAGCGGGGATTCGAACCCCCACCTTCCCTTCTCTGTTCATATTCCAAAAAGCGCGCGGGCCGTCGCCTGACGGCCTGACGACGGACGACGGACGACGGACGACGGACGACGGACGACGGACGACGGACGACGGACGACGGACGACGGACGACGGACGACGGGGGCCCCGAGCGGGCTTTTTTTTTGGACTCTGCTCGCACTGGGGCTGCTCCGGGGGCTGCTCCGTCTCGCGCGGCTGCGCCTCGCGGCGCTCGCGCGCCGCGGCAAGCGCGCCCCGCCCGACGAAGCCCGGGTCGTCGGGCATGATGCGGCGCTGCGCGCGCTCGTCGTAGTCCTGCGTCGCCCCGGGCGAGGCGACGGCCCCCGCGTTGCGCTCCCCGAAGGGGCGGCGCGGCAGGGGCGACAAGGCGGGCAGCGGTGCGTCGTCGTCCATGAGCTGCCGGCGGCCGAGCGATTCAAAGCGAGCAACGACTTCTTAAACCCAAAAGAGCACGAGCGGAGATCCTTAAACCTAGAAACATCATTCCCGGGCCTAAACCTGAAAACCATCCGCGCCAAACCTGAAACATATTATAGTGCCTGAGCGCCAACAAGCAGGGACCCCTAGGCTAGCCCCACTAGGGTAACACCCAGTGTGCCACCTCCTACGATAACGAGCCTGAGGCAAGAAGCGACTCCACGACACGAACGAACACGGCAAAGGTACAGCATCAGCGGCTCACAGCAGCTTCCGAACCCGTGTGGCCCGACGTAGAGCGTAAACACCGGAATGGATGCAGGAATTTCACTAGGCTTACTTAAGTAGCGTTGAAAAACAGTGACCGAAAAGGCGATTGAAGCACCAGCGTCACACTATGATGAGCGTCTCGGGATTGGCTCTTGCCTCGATGACCCTCGGGGTCGTGGCTCTCCGCCCCACCAGCAAGCACGGACGCATGTAACGTTCTGCGCCAGAGCACTTCGCGTGTTGCACGATCATTGGATATAGGTATTATGCAAGACCACCCGCGGCAGCTACCGTGGACGCGGCGCACCTCAGCGTGATAGTATCAAGAAAAATAGCTGCATGTTCTGCATCATCTTAGGCTAACGCAGACATGACCGAGGCAGGTGTGGAAAATTGGGAGACCAAATATCGGGTTTTAACTCCGGTGACACTTGACAGCAAGAATGAGGAGTACACACGATTCGACAAGTACAAGTCCAAATATATGGGGCGATATAATAGCGTGGACCAATCCAAGACAGACATGAGTTACGCTGAATTTGGGGCATTGGTGACAGCACAAGAATACTCTTTCAAGAACGGCGACATCTTGACTGGCACGGTTGTGCAATATGATGGTCCACAGAAGGCCATGGTGGAGGTCGGTGCGAAGACAGCGGCCGTATTGCCGCTGCGTGAGGCAACGATTGCACCATTGGGCGATGGCGAAACGATCGCAACCTTTGTAGATGTTGGTGAACAGTATGAGTTTCAGATCGTATCGGATTCCCGTGATGACGGGCAAGTGACCGTTTCTATCAAGAAGATCATGTATGCCAAGGCATGGGAAACACTCTCAGAGTGGTATGCAGAAGACCCTGTCTTTGAGGCAGAGATCGTCCAGGTGAATCGCGGAGGGGCAATTGTTCTTGTCGAGGGGCTTCGCGCCTTTCTTCCTGGCTCCCACATCATGGGCAGTGGTGGTGCCTCCGAGGCTATGATTGGTAAAAAGATCCCACTAAAGTTCCTCGAAGTGAACCAGGAAGCCAACAAGCTTGTCGTCAGTAATCGCCGTGCAGTAATTGAACACTCGATGGCCTCGATCAAGCGCGGAGACGTGTACGATGGTACTGTAACTGCCGTTAAACCGTACGGCGCCTTCGTCGAAATCATGGGGATGTCCGGCCTTCTCCACATCTCGCAGATCTCATACGATCGCGTCGAAGACCTGGATGCAACGCTTGCATGTGGCATGGCCATTAAGTGCATGGTCATAGACCATGACAAGGCAGCAGGTCGTATTGCGCTCTCAACCAAGACCCTTGAACCTGAACCCGGAGATATGCTTCGTGACCCGAATCGCGTAATTTCCCAAGCGTTTATTATCTCTCTAATTTCACCATCTCCGATTTCGCCTGAGCTGCGTCCAACGCAGGTATTTTCTCTCGCAGAGGAGACAGCCGCAAAATATCACGCATCGGCCAGCGCCCGAGAGTATAATACATTACCCTTGTCGAGTGTTTGTCATGCAGGCTCGAGTCGAAGCCGAGAAAATTGCTCGTGAGCAGGCTGCGAAGGAGATGGTTCTTGGTCTTGGTGACTCACTTGACTCTCTCGAAAGTGTTCTTGACCCTTCGGATTCGCAGCTCGGCCCTGGTTCCGAGTAGGGGCAATCATATGCGATGTGACCACCCGAAGGCCAGCCGCTTCTTTAGGACGCATGTTCGGAAAGCCAAGGCGCCGGTGTACAAGTAGCGCACCTAAGTAGCACCCAGGGCCCAGGGAGGCGACTTGGGCACAAGTAACGCTAAAGACGTGCTACTCCCCCCCTCCTCCTCCACACGGCCCTAAGTTGTTCAAAATAGCCCGCGGGAAACTCGACGCGCTCTAGTTTGGGCCCCGCCCGGCCCCCCGGCGCCTGAGTAAAGCCCCCGGCTGCCGCACGGCTGCCGACCCAAAATTATCGGGGGCGTTTCGGGTCCCTTGGGGCCCCCTCCAGCGCAGGGGGGGGGTTCTGGGCGGGGTTCTGCCGCCGGCGGCGGCCGCGGAGCCTCGGGGCCTACTAGAACAAACTAGAGCGGTTCTGGGGGAGAAACGGGAGTAGTTCGCAATAGGAACTCGGGGTCAGGGACCCTAAAACTTCAGTCGGCCTCGTCTCAATTGTGAAGGTGAATGGCAGATGACCCAATTCCCCCTGCGCTTTTTGTGTCCTCTTGTCGACTTCGGCCTGTAGCGATTGAAGCGAAAATCCCAAGGCCATATACAGACGTCGGCGTTTTTCCTTCCCTGTTTTTTTAAGAACCACAATGCTGGCGTCTGGGAAATACCGCTGGAACGTTGTGAGGAAAATTTCATTTGCCACATACTCCATAAAAAATGTTACCTTTCGATTCTTGGACAGTTCCACTGTTAGAGCAGCCGCGTTTTTGATCATGTTGACGACGTCCTTGTACTTGATGTCGCCCGACGCGCATGACGCCGGCCTGCAGCACAGGCACAATGTTGCATGTCTCTCTACCAGCTTTCTTATGGCCTTGTTTGGAGTCGCAATAAGATCCATTTTTTGAAATTTGGTGTTTAAGTTGCGCTCCACTACTTGACGGAATTTTTCTTCGCTGTCGACGGCGAGGACGTGGTCGAATGGTGCTAAGCTGAATGGCGAGCTTCGCGCGGCGGGCCGCGCGAGGGAGGTCGGGGGGCGGCATCACGGGGCCCGGGGGCCCAAAACTCAGCGACTGTTTTCGTGGGGGAGTAGAGGACATCCACAGAAGATGGCTTCGCCTTCTTTGGCTGGTGTTTGTTCCCCGAGGGTGAGGCCGGAGGCGTACGTCTAGAACCAACAGCAGAAGATTTCACAAGCGACTGCAGTTGTTCAAATGGCAAATCAACCCAATGCGTAGCTAGTGATAGAATCCGCGCATCAGCATCGTATTTCAGACACAAAGACGGAAGCTTCGGACGTCTGCAAGACTTCGCTTTAACAGGTTCAAGACCCAACTCCAGTGCAAGAGCCTGGAGATGTTCTTCATCTGCAGGGAGCAGATAACCCAATTCCCCCAGCGTCATCCCCTAGGATATGGATCCCCCCGTATCCTCCTCCTCCTTAACCTAGCCTATAACCCCAGTGCTATGGTTCACCTGATCTGAATGGAACAAAAATTCGCCGTTTGGGTAGCATTGTGCTCACAACTTCAAGAGTACATGACCACCCACGCCGAAGCGCGAATTAACTTTCTTCTTGACGGACCACTTGGGGGGGTCGAACGTGAACGGACCCACGTTTGTTGTTACCCTAAGTTAGGGCGCCTCTCTCTATAATTCACTTCGCATCCCCCTCTCCCAAATAGGGCCAAGGCACGCCCTCGCCCGGGCCAAAATGCAGCGCAAGGGCCGTCCATAGCTCGGTTGCCGTACCAATCCGGCGGGAACTCACTTGGGAAGCCCGACTAGCAGTGGCCTAGGTTAGCTTCATGCTGCGGTACCGGCCGACAGCCGGCTGCTAACGGACACTAAGAGAGCCTGGGTCCGCGTATTCGGCGCCGACCTCGCANACGACCTCGCACAGTCTCGATTTTCTTTTCTTGCGCAAGCGGGCAGATGCCCTTCAAAATCTATTCGGAACTCCAACCGCGTGCGCGGATTGAGAGGCCACTCAGCAACACATCCACGCTAGTACGAACGCGTAGCCGCTGGATGTATCCAGGTCGTCGACCCCCATTCGGAATCCGCTCCCATACCCGGAATCATCGGCCATGGCGCCACTCCGCTTTTTACCACACTCGAAGGGGACTCCACTCAGGTCAAGTCTCTAATGGTGTCATCGGCCGCCGCGACAGTGAGCTTGTTTGAGAACTAGAGCTCGAACGAGTTGATTCTCAGCACTGGTTGTAGTTTTAAAAGGTCTTGGTAGCGAAACAATTAGCCATATGAGGACTAGCGCGACTTGTGAGTGATTTACACATGAATGGACGATCTGGAGTCATTCCACATGGTCACGGAACACGTAGCAAAATCGCCGGCCAAGCCAGAGCACATTTTGCCCCTCGACTCGTCTCCGAAGGAAGATCGATTTCTGACAATTGCCTTGAGTTTGAGTTGATGCAGAGCTTCTCAATGCTCTGGATTCTCAGCTGATTCAGGGGATCAGGGTGCCTGTATCTGACGCAAAAGGAGCTTCTGAAGTTCTGCAGAGTCCGCATGGTGCATATTCAAATTTAGCGCACTTGCAACCTGAGCAGATAAAATGACGACACAGCATCAGATCTAGCTAGTCATCCGCACCATTGAAAACGAATCTTGGATATTTCCCAGCTTGTAGGCGAGCAGCGCACCATTAAAGAAAGGTTGGAAAAGATGTGGGGCTTTACTTTGAGCACTGTTGAAGATAGCTTGGGCAGCTTCTGTATTCCGACTCTGCAGCTCGAGCACACCCAGATTACAGAGACTCTCAGCATGTTCGCCATCGACCGACAATGCTACCTTGAATGATTGATACGCAAGATCGCAGTTCCCTATGCCAATACCAATGTGACCAATATTATACCAAATATCAGCAATATCATCAGCTAGTTGGAGCGCTCGACCGAAGCAATTCAACGCCAGGTCAAACTGGGATGAAAAGAAGCAGCATAGTCCGACATTATTCCAGATCTCAGGACCTACCACTCCCATCTGCAACAAACGACGGTAATATCGAAGACTAATCTCTGGCTGATAAGAATAAAAATGATTTGCGGCAAGAGATGACAAGCCTTCAACATTCGAAGCATCGAAAGCCAGCACCATCTTATAGCTGGAGACGCTTGGCTCTATTGCATAGAGCATTTCATGAATACGAGCTATTCCAAGCATCAGTCGCGTCTCACCAGTAGTCTGTTTATTCGCCTTTTCAAGAACCGCTAGAGCGGCATTCGGCTGATCAAGGCGGATATAGACCTTACTTAATTCGAGAACTGTCTCAGCCATATTTTGGTCTTGGAGTGATGATGAAAGCTGTTTTTCTGCATCACGGTACAGTCCTAGCCGATAGTAGCATCTTCCAAGTCGAGCTTTCCACCACCAGTCTTTGAAATTCGCCTCTCGGGTCGCTTCTGCACATAGTTCCAGCGCGCGCCTGGGATTATGCTCGTGGTAGATCAAGTAGTCGCAAATAACTTTTGACATCGATTCCCGACGCACGAGCCTGGAGAAATCCAAGCGGCTAATGTCGAGAAACGAGTTTTTTGATTCTGCCAGTAGTGATGCAGTTCCAAGCCTCAACTCATGTCCAAGAGAGGTAACAGGTCGGGACTGCCCAGTAGCTGTGTTTGTGGTACGGAGAGCCGCCTCGAGCCCCTCGCGGCCTGTGATTGGCCTTGAAGTAGTCCCTGGTCGCTCAAAGCCTGTCAAAGGTCGTCCACAATTAGAAACTGGCCTCAAGCTCTGTTCTGATGATGATCGGGATCTGGATGCTGGGCGATTTAGAGAAGTACCCGGCCTAAAAGTTGTGCTCCGTATGATTTGTGATGATGATAAAGACAGGTACCTGGGCATAGCAGCGACTGTGTTCGCATCTAATAACAGATCTGCAGTTCCCTGATCCTCTAGATTGGTATCATCAACCCAGCTTTGCTGAAGGAATGCACTACACTTTAAATATAGCGCTGCTTGGTCCCGAGGATGAGAATCCAGCAACTCTGTGCAGTCTCGGATACACCGCTGATGTTCGCGGCGACGATTGTTGAACATCGCCATCCAGAGCTGTTATGTTATGATGCACAAACAAAAGAAATGGCAGGCGGACGCACATGATCTATGGTTTTCATAATTGGTTTTTAAGCCGGCACTGATTGAGGTTGCTCGCGGGTTGATGGTCGTATCAAAACAAGCTCGATGATACTAGAGAGATAGAGAGTTTTGTATCTCCCTAGTGGCTCGCTGGTACAGAGCCACCCAATATCCTTCCCCTCTTTAATACTTTCTAACCCTGCTATAGTTGCTTCCCGCACTGTAATAGACGGAGAGTCTTCCTGGACCTAGTGAGGCAGATCCTCTGCCCGTTCGTCCAGTAGCCCCAGCCCCCGTATACTACGGCAGCTGAGGTGACGTGAGGATAACAGAGACGCCGGTGTACCGCCACTGCGTAACCTCGATAGTTCACCCTCACACGGCAGGGCAGGCCCATTAGGCTGCCTCCCCGTGTCGGAGTTTACTATCTCGTTAGGTTTGGGACCCAGCGCTCGGTCTCTCTGCGTAGACCTCACGCATTCTTTTCTTTCGCTTCGCGTTTGCGCTCTTTCCCCGCGCTCAATTGCAGGCGGAGCAATTGGACGCCGAAGCTAGAGCGGCAGCCGCGGCAGCAGCTCAGGCAGAGGTAGCTAGCCTGAGAGCAGCAGCTCAGCCTGAGGCAGAGGCAGATGCCAAAGAAAAAGCAGCTGAGAGTGCTGCGACTCTGGCAGGTATTCTTCAAGCGACTAGGGACTCTAGCGACAAAATTGACAAAATTGAACTGAAGCTAGACGCTGTTACTTCATCACTGGATGGCCTGAATGATAGGGCAGACTACCTCTTCTAGCATACTCGGATTCTAACACCTGCCTCACTAGGCCCAGGAAGACCCTCCGTCTATTACAGTGCGGAACGCAACTATAGCAGGGTTAGAAAGTATTAAGGAGAGGGGAAGAATCTGGGTGGCTATGTACCCGCGAGCCACTAGGAAGGTGCAAATCTCTCTATCTCCCTATGGGCTGCGCGATGGTCCTGGGCTTCGAGGCGGTCGACGGCGGCCAAGACGACCTTCTGCGGGCGCGCCCCCGCGCCACCCCCGTCCCCTGGGGCACGTTTGACGGAGTCCGGCCAGGCGCCGAGGGTGGAGGCATCATTTTTCGTTGAAACCGGCCTGTATCCACTCAGCGCTCCCTCCGTTACAGACGACGAACAGATGTGCAGCGACTTGAAAAAAAAAAAAAACTACTAGCTCTGCCGCTCGTCGAAAATTCGGACGCGAATACTGCATCCCAGACGTGCTCCTCCAAAACCAACCTGTAGACGCTGCGACGGTTAGCTGTCAGCCTAGCTGTCCTAGGTACCCCTCTCGCCCCCTGGATAAGCACCCCCTCCGTTACAGACCAAGAGAGGCCTGAACACGGGAAGTCTTCGTGAACGTGAACCCTCAAGGTCGAACTTCATAGACTAACGCACTAGTTTTGCTGTGATGACAATTTAATGTCTCGACGGCCGCGTTGTTCGACAATTGGCCCGTCCGATGCATTAGCTTCGGAGGTCTTTGTCAAGAAAGAATTTAAGTGGTTGTATGTTGGCTTGGAGCAGAAAGCCACCGCAGGTTCGAATTTAGTAAGAGGGCGAATTGACGACTGTGTCAAGGGAGTCGATGCCCGGCACATGCAAGATATTGAGAATTTCATCGCAATAGAGCTACAGACTCGCGGCTGTGATGACGCAACTCTCCCGTCCATGGCTCGGCTGCAGGTGTTCGAGGAAGCGTTGGATCGCTTTCTTTCAAGGTGTCACATGTATCGCTCGTTTTTTTACCGATACAGGAGGGAACAGAATATGCTGCGAGGCGTGTACGCCGCGCGTGTCGCTGAACTACCTGAATTGCGGTCCCGTGCAGATGGTGCCCAATTGAAAGCTGATACAGCAATGGAGACAGCCAAAAGCTCGGCGGCTATGAATGTGGCGAAATTGCGAGACGATGCTGTAGCGTTACGGCGAGCCCTGGTGGTGGCCAACGAGGATCAACGCCGAGAGAGAGAGAGGAACGCAGAAGAGGCACTTGCCTATCGGAGACTCCATGAAGAAGCAGAAGAGTTGCGACGGGCAACATCGATGCTCACGACCTCTCTTGGGCGGCTGGAGGAAGAGAGAGAGCGATGGGCTCTGCAGGAAAACTCAACCAGAAGCGAAGCCTTGAATTACAAGTCGGCACTGGAGAAGTCATTGATAGAAACAGAGCGCCTCCGCGCCCTTGCCCAAGACCTCGAAGAGAGGAAAAAGGACGAGGGTAACGAAGCACTCAAGGAGCTTGAAACAAAACTTGTAGCAATGCGCAAGGAGAATACTCACACCCAGGCCCAACATCGCGCACTGCAGGTTCGGTATCGAGCACTTGCATCAAATAGTTTAGCACGTGATGCCCCAACTGAAGAGTGTAACAGCACAAAAGATGCTGTAGCAAAAGAGGTCCCAGAGGAGAGCGATGGGATGGGCAGCGGCGATATGAACTTCGATGAGCTACTTGATGTTACCAACGAGCTGGGCCCAAAGAGTGAAGATGCAAGCAACCTGCACGAGGACAGGGAACATGCTAAACGCAGGGAATCTCATGGTCCGCACCATCACATGAAGAAGCATCACGCATCCATCATCAATGAGCATCCAACAATGCAAACTGTGACTATTGAAGTTGAGTCGGAGGACAGGACAATGTTGAATGAGTGTTATATCCCTCCTGGGATCCATTTCATTGGTCGGGGCACATCTGATGACGTGCCGCCTTATCTGCGAATTGAAGGTCATGTCAAGAATTGGGTCCTTAGTAAACGCGAGACGGAACGCATGATCAATGATGTCTGGGTAAGTAAAGAGAGGTTCGAGAGCCAGACCGGCAATCGGGAGCCACTTTCAAACTACCTCTACCAGTATCTCTCTCTTCGCTTTTCCTCGCATACGTTAGCAATTGAATGGGGCTACAACTTGCTTGATTCTCTCGAGAGATACATCGCTGACTCTGATTGCCGTCTTTTCCTCCAGATCCTCAATGGTAGCCTGCCGGAAGAAGTTCGAGTTGATCAACTTGCACTGCTCGCAGATGTTGTCACAACCATGGAGAGAGAGGACAGGACCCTAAATAACGGCAAAACTACTTCCAGTCTCAGTCTCCCAACATTCACCACGGCCCTGCGCAAGCTCCTCAACACAAAGTCCGAACACAATTTCTCACGCCTTGTGAGACAGCTTCAGATCGAGGCGCAGTCCAACAAGTCGAGAGTCGTTCACTACTGTGAGCTTCTCCAGTCGGACTCTCAGGGGAATCAAGGAAAGTTCTGTGAGCTTCTCCGTGAACAGCATCTCTCAGAAATTGTCGCTTTTTCCCAGCATGTCCAGGCAACGATTCATGAGGCAACCGGCAATGGCAACGACACCGAACTACCGCTTCCAAGGCTTCGCGAGGCACTTGTCAAAGCAGATCCGGAAAAGCCTCGCGCGGAGGTGAATGCCTATCTTGCCCGTGGTGCCGGCGTTGAGCCCAAAGAATTGGTAGAGAAGGAACAGAGTAATCAGCTCTGCGAAGTTACCCAGTTCATTAAGAACCTAAATAAAGGTCTTCTGAAGCGTTCAACTCCCGTCGTTCCTGGTTCAGGTGGAGGCGGCACTAGCCTCCGCTAGGAGCAGCAAAATTAGCATGCAGCAGATTTTGCCGCATCAACAGTCTCGGGCGGTGTAAGCGTCGATATGCATGCACGGGAGTATGAAAGTCGCCGAGAGAGGCAACTATAGGCGCGTGTGACTTCGCTACTCAGTGGCCTCCGGTAGCCTCCCTGCTTTCTTCTCTTCTTTGTCCTCAAAATATCCTGCCGGAGAGAGCGCCGAGAGCTAAGTCGCCCGAGGTTCATTGTGATTCCAAGCCCGTAGTGCGACTCCGATCAACTCAAGGCCTCTATGCTGCGGAGTCGAGACCGAAAATCAAATCACGGCGGTACAATATGGCTTCGGCCGCAACGCGCACGTGCTGTAGAAGATCAAAAAGAGGAAAGACTCATGTCTAGCAAGGGCCTGAGGGGGGTGCAGGCCATGATATAGAGGACATCGCGCTACCTTTCCAACTGTGGCGGGATAATGGACTAAGGCAACTTGATTGGCTTAGCTTGAAGTTGGCATTGCACCTGGCTTGTATCTCTAGTATGCTCCTATTTTATCTACAGCGAGCGACGGTGGATATATAAATATATAAACCCAGTTGATGTCAGACGAGTCCGCGGACTCGCCTATCCATGGTGGCATACTCCTGACTTGTATGTTTGAATTACTACCATATGACAATTCTGATAGGCCAGAGTTTCCTGAGTGACTAAGATTTCCGGTAGCGAGTAGAGAGATAGAGAGTTTTTTGTATATCCCTAGCGTCGAGGGCGGTGGCTGTCCGGTTGTTGGTTACTGTATATTTGGCCGGACAGGGACGAGGCAACAGGTCTCATGGAAGACGTGGTCTCCAGTCCGGCCCCCTTGTTCCATATTAAAAAAGGGAAAGTTATTTTCCCTCATTATGTTGCAGGAGTGTGGCTGAGGTGGCTGCGCCATCCAAGCGCGGTCCGTCGGCCTTCATCCGGAGTCCTGGCATCTTTAATTGAAACTGAGCTCAACCTCCCCTAGTACAATATGTTTCCGGTAACGAGTTAGTGAGTTTAGACCTATCATCATCCAGCTAAATAAAACTGCTGGTTGTGGTGGTCCTCTCCCAGCTCGCCGCTTCCCCGGGGTCCGGGGTGGCGCGGCTTATATTTTTTGGCCCGCCCACCACCCTCCTATGAGCCTTGTATGCCATCGGGTGGCCTCCTTCAAAGATCCAGCGTCGAGGGCGGTGGCTGTCTGATTGTTGGTTACTGTATATTTGGCCGGACAGGGAGGAGGCAACAGGTCTCATGGAAGACGTGGTCTCCAGTCCGGCCCCCTTGTTCCATATTAAAAAAAAAAAATTACTTTCCTCATTATGTTGCAGAAGTATGGCTGAGGTGGCTGCGCCATCCAAGCGCGGCGGTCCGTCGGCCTTCATTCTGGCATATTTAATTGAAACTGAGCTCAACCTCCCCTCGAGGGAGGATCTTACTTGCTTCCTTTAGCTCAGGCTAGTGGGAGATACGAAAGGCCAAGTGGACGGAAATTGCATTTACGGCAGTACAATATGTTTCCGGTAACGAGTTAGTGAGTTTAGACCACCTATCATCATCCAGCTAAATAAAACTGCTGGTTGTGGTGGTCCTCTCCCAGCTCGCCGCTTCCCCGGGGTCCGGGGTGGCGCGGCTTATATTTTTTGGCCCGCCCACCACCCTCCTTCAAGTTCGGCACAAATGAAGCACCCGCCCTGCCCTACCCCCCTCCATCCCCGCTGAGGTGGCTGCGCCATCCAAGCGCGGTCCGTCGGCCTTCATTCTGGCATCTTTAATTGAAACTGAGCTCAACCTCCCCTCGAGGGAGGATCTTACTTGCTTCCTTTAGCTCAGGCTAGTGGGAGATACGAAAAGCCAAGTGGACGGAAATGCATTATTATACATGTATCTGTTCTTATCGTCCTTGATACAACCGCCGATGGCAGGCGACCAAGTAAGTGTATTGGACATGATTGATAGCATGCGAAAGCGTCTGAAGAGGCGGAACATGTTGCTCGATGATGTTCGCACGGCTTACTTGAAAGACGTCGTCGTCGTCAGAGAATTACTGTCCCGCCAAAGCCCCGCAGGTGATAAGATGACAGCGTCACTAAACCTTCGGCCTACCCTAGCTCTGTATGCACCGTCGGAGTGCACGTTTCGAATTGCTCACGGGGAAGGACTAGATCACTATGGAGGGCATCTGGAAGTGGTTCATCACGAGTCGAAACGTGTTGTGGAATTATCGAAACGCATTGAGGAACTTCTCGAGGCAGAGCAAGACTCGCGGTTCAAGGCTGCCAAACTCGACCTAAGAGCCCAGCAGGATCGCTTGGCATTAATCAGTCAACGCGTATCAAGTAGAGATGAACGCGAGCAGCTCTGTAATGAAGTACAAGTACTAAAGGACCGATTGGGACGGGTTGATGAAACTGCTCACGAGACTTTGCAACGAACAGTTTATGGGTTGCAGCGACAGTTGGAGCAGGCTGAGGCCCGTATCCGCGAGCTCCTCCCGCTTGTTGGTGACAGTGCGCGCAACCAGCAGGATGCAGGACAGGCTGAGCTTCAGCTTGCTGGGAAAGACCACCGAATTGCTGATCTGGAAAAGCAACTTTCTACGTCCAAATATGATTTGGGCTGCGAGCTCAAGCGCTACAGCGATATTGAGATCAAATACGATGATGAGTGCGCCAAGTCACGCCTCTTACAACGCCAGTGTGATGATATAGAAACAGTGTTAACGACTACAAAAAAGCAATGTGGCGCTATCCAAGGCTCTTTGGATGAAAGCAGACGAGCACAGGCTGAACTGCAACAAAAGCTTAGTGACTTGCGGGTAGAATACACCGAAGCTGTTCAACGTGAGGAGGCCGAGCAGGAAGAACTCCAATTGCATCTTGAACAGGCGAGAACGCAAGAAAGAAAAGCAAGAGCTGAAACTGACGAATTCAATACCAAGCTAATCAATTCCGAGCTTGCACAGCAGGAAGCTTTGGCGAAGGCCTGTGCTGATTTGGAAACTCAACTTGGAGCAAAACACAGCCATACAGACAAACAGTTGCGGGATGAAATCATGCGATATGAGGAAAAATCCAGCAAGCTCGAAGCTAAGCTCAAAATTGAGCAAGAGAAGCGTGCATCTCTCGAGGTGGAGTTGCACAGTTCCCAGGTCGAGACTGAGGAGCACAAGTCAGCTGCATCTTCGTCAAAAAATGAGGTGAGTACTCAAGTGGCAGAAATCTTATCGTTGCTCCAAACCTGCCCACAAAACTTGGATCCTGAGCCTGAACCCGACACGAGCGAGCTAGAAATTGTGCGAAGCCGGGTGGCTAATCTCTTGTCGATTTTGATAAAGACCACTGAAGAAAAGACCGCTTTGGAACTTCATCTGCAACAGTACAAGACCAAAACCGGCGCAGTCACGAGTAGTGCTAAATTGATGTCGGTAATCTCCACCAGAGATTCCAGTGATTCCGTATCTCAAGATCAGCTTGTCCAGATGCTTCAAGAAAACGCAGATGGCATGTCCCAGCTGCAGACAGAACTGGACTATATCACCTCAGAAAAGGAGAGAGCCGAAGCGGATTCAAAATTGTTAGCTGAAGCTCTCAACAAATCGCAAGCAGACCTTGACGCATTGCATAGTCAAAATGTGCGCACTCGAGAGGCGCAGTCTGCTGCCCAAGCATCTCTTCACGAGGAGCTTCTCGGCGAACTTGAACGAGCAAGATCGTGTGCTTGGCCGGAGTCCGCGGTGCAAGCAGCAGATGACCTAAAATCTAAAGTTCGCAGCTTAGAAGAAAAGCTTGCAAGCCTTCATCAGGATGCACGTGCCTTTTTGCTAACCCGGAAGACGGGAACTGCAAGCGCCCCTGCACTTCAAGCGGACCACCTGGAGGGAGGGGCACGTGAATTTTCAGGGGGGGGTTCTGGAAGCAACTTCGAAGATGACGAAAGCAAGTCTCAACTCAAATCAGCCACCTCACTACTTGGCGACTTACTCCAGCAGGTTCATGCCTTCAAACCCAGCTCGGAAACCAGTACGAACGAAGAACAAGACCTGAATATCGAAGTTCCTGCACAGAGCGATGTGGATGAGTTTAATGTGGTTTTTACAAACTTGGCGTCTCAATTCACGTCAGCGCTGCAAGCTGTGTCAGTTGAGTTGCTCGAAGCACGCGCAGTTATCTCCACTTTACCCGACGGATTCTCGTACAAAGAAATGGCAGAAAAACTTTCGGTTCTAGAGCAAGCGTCAAGGGAGACGGGTGAGGGTGATCAAGGCAAAAGGAGTGGAAGAGAAGAGGAACTACAGAGGTTAAAACAACGCAACGCATCTCAACAGAATTTCATCATGGAACTGCAAGAGGAGGTAGCCACAATGAAAGGTCTCATGTTCGCAGCGGATGAAATCAAGCGGCAATATAGTGAGCTCGAAGACAAATACCGACTCTTAGAAAATGAGTTCACTGAAAAGGCAGAAAACGAAGTCAACTCACGGAAAGCGAAAGAGCGCATCGAGTTGCAGCTAACACTAGCGCATGCTGATGTGGCTTCACTCTCACGCGACAAGGGGACCCTGACGGATGCTCTCAAGGCAAACGAAGACGCGATTACTAAATTGGAGTCTAAACTTGCACACGCACTGAAAGTATATGAGGATGTGGTGCAACGTGAACGCTCACGCCTGGAAACAAATAGAGACATCCAGACCCAGTTCAATCCTACACTTCTGGATATTGCAATTCAAACATCCTTCAAAACCCCAGCCATGACTCTAAGGCAAATCAATTCCTACTCTCATGTGCCACACCGCAGGCGGGGCCCAGGACTTGTTACCCCAGCGCCATCTAGCAATGAAATATCAATCCCTGAGCACTCCATCGCGAATAGTGGCGTCTTTCAAGACAAAGGTACGATGTGGTCGAATTCAGTGACCTGAGGACTCATCGAGAAGCCTAATGTGAATCAGGATTGCGGACCAACAGCCAACGCAAGGCCGCAGGTTTGTCTTGAGTAGATGTCTTGAGGCCAGAGCATGGTAGACCAAGGCCCGTAGAGGGAGATGCCCCTAACCAGGGTAACATTGAACGCGACGCCCACACCGGGGGACTGAGGAGGCAGGGCGAGATCACCGGGGCATTCTCGACTAAGGTGCTTAGGGGACATTAAGCTACTTGGAACAAATGGCAAATGCCCCTGCGGATGAGAAACCGAGGGAAAACCTGGAAGATGATTAGCGGAAGATGATTCAGCGGATCGCCGGCCGACAGGAGGATAACAGGATCCTGATGCCCTGTTAGTGCAGCGTGTTAGTGCCAGAAACCGCGGGGCAGGCGGGGCAAGCCCCCCGGGGCCCTCTACTCTTTTGCTCCAGAAACGTTGGAATAGAGCAGAACTTTATGCGGATGCATTTATTCCAACGTAACTGCACGTGTTTTATGATCGACTAATCGAATTCGGTTAATCCGTCCCACGAAATCCCACTTAGGACATCTCGGAGGTAGTAGTAGGCCCCGCGGCCCCGCGGCGGCCTCGCCCGGCGGCCCGGGCAGAACCTCGCCCAGACCCCCCCCCCTGCGCCGGACGGGACCCCAGGGGACCCGAAACGCCCCCGATACTTCTGGGTCGGCGGCTGGGGGCTTTACTCAGGCGCCGGGGGGGCGGGCGCCCCCAAAACTAGAACGCGTCGAATCTCCCGCGTTCGCCCTTCGACCGGCGGCAAACCCACCCCGTCGGTAAACTCGCGGGCGGCAAATCAGTCAAACTCGGAAAATTGCCCTCTGGAGAGGCCAAATTTCTGTGGTAAAGCGTAGCCTAGACCCCAGGCATCAACATTCCCCCGTCCCGCCCTCGCATCCTCTACGAGAGCAGAGCGGGATTAAAGCATGTGTAGATGACGCCATGGCAACGGCTCATGTTGAAAGCGACCAGTGTAACATTACCCAATTAATGCAACGAGCCAATATATGATTCGCCAGGATATCAAAATGGCTTATCCATCTGCGATTGGAGAGTATGATACGATTGATGGGGCCGTAGGTTACTGCCAGACGGGCTCGTTGGCGAAGAAAGTGTCGCAGAGCGCATCGTGCTCCATGCACTCGTCAACCAACTGGTGGATAGCCTCTGGCCAATACCTATGCCAGGATTTAAGCTCGACTATGCAATCATATGGACATGTAGAAAATTGTCCTCACTTGTCAAGCATGCGCCGGAATTCTTCAGCATAGAGAGCGTTTGAGTTGCGGTGGTGATTACCCGCTGGCAGCATCA